AAGGTACGTCTTCATCGAATTACTGCACTTGTCCCAGCCGTCCATCGTCAGGAGTATATGCTCAGTGCAAGCCGTACGCGAATCCGAGTTTGCTACATCAAGTTGTGTCTGGAATTGGTGCAGCGAGCGTTCCATTTCCTGGCGAGTCTCATTGTAGAACGGGAAAACAACACCCAAAACAAATCCTGGGTAGGTTTCAATATGGGTGGTTGCTACAGTATCTGCCGATTTAATGGTGCCGAAGCTCTCGTAGAGATTGCTGATACCACCGGTACTGCAGGTTCGGATGCGGCAAGGTAGGGGTGCATAGTAAGGTGCGTCCGCCTGCGGGCGATAATGGCCCGGGAATGAGCGGAGTGTGGTTCGGGTGTTTCTCATTCTCTCACAAGGAAGTAAAAAGCAAAAGGCAAAGGACCGGGTATTAGTATCACGCGGCCACGAAGTTAGTCACTGAAGTTGGTATCATCCATTGGTATCATATCATATAGCATCTTGAGAATTGCAATGTTTTTACGCTGATAACGCTGGCGAGAATTTTAAAGTCGCATATCACGGAGAAGTTGCTGTTCAGAAGGCTAGCAGCTATTTACTGTCGACTAGATCCGAACTTCGTATCGTATAGGAATGTGGATCGAAATTTAACAGATCAACGTTTAAACCAGATCAACGTGCCGGAGCAATATCCTACGTGATATGGTCAGGGCTCGGTACGACGGCTCAAAGCTGTTTAAATCTCGTATTCTGAGTACTGTATCACTACCATGAACTATGAAGCCAGTATTTTTTTCCAAGGTATTTCTTAAGCCTTACGAGTGACAGGTTTCCGCTTACGTCTTTGTGTAAGAAGACTTTTCCCCATGAGATGAGTGGCCTGCTACTAAAGGAGTGATGCTGCACCGATTCTTCCCCAATAACGCATGAGATCATGTCTTAAAAATGTTGTCTGGAGGAATTCTCGATCTTTTTCTACCTTAGATGTGCTGAATGGATAATGAAAGATCGGCTTCAATGTTGACCTGAACTTACGGACTCCCCCGACTACCGGATCGTAATTATGCCAATGGTATGGCTGCAGCCCCGAACGAAGTTTTGCTCTGTAGACCGCGTGTCTGTACCAGTAGTATATGCATCAAGAGGCCTGGGAAGGTGTGGTAAATAAAACAAGAAAAGCATCTTATCATACAGCAAGGTCAATCATAAAATTATATTCCACGAATGAAATGGAGGCGAACTTTTTGTGCTTTTGTTTTTAAAAACAAATATAAATATAAACCAGTTTGTTAGTATTTTCGAATTTATTTTTAAAAAATATAGAAAACACCAGCAAAAAAAGAAAAGAATGCCATCTTTCACTATGGCCGTGTCAATAAACGTAGCCCTGAAGAAGGTGTAATTTATATGAACGACTATTTTAATACGATAGAAGGCAAATTAGAGTAGAGGGTCATGAGTGAGTGACCTTTCGTTGGTTTGTAATTTCGAATTTATTGTTTTATAAAATTTAAATATAAAACAATAACAAAAAAGAGTAAGTATGCCATCTTTCACTATGGCTGTGTTAAAACCCATAGCCCCAAGAAGGTGTTCTTTCTATGACCGACATGGCTGAAGCCCCGAACGAAGTTTTGCTCTGTAGACCGCGTGTCTGTACCAGTAGTATATGCATCAAGAGGCCTGGGAAGGTGTGGTAAATAAAACAAGAAAAGCATCTTATCATACAGAAAGGTCAATCATAAAATTATATTCCACGAATGAAATGGAGGCAAACTTTTTGTGCTTTTGTTTTTAAAACCAAATATAAATATAAACCAGTTTGTTAGTATTTTCGAATATATTTTTTAACAAATATAGAAAACAACAGCAAAAAAGAAAAGAATGCCATCTTTCACTATGGCTGTGTCAATAAACGTAGCCCTGAAGGTGGTGTTATTTATATGAACGACTATTTTAATACGATAGAAGGCAAATTAGAGTAGAGGGTCATGAGTGAGTGACTTTTCGTTGGTTTACATATTCGAATTTTTGTTTTTATTTAAATATATATAACAATAACAAAAAAGAAAAAGTATGCCATCTTTCACTATGTAAGTGTTAATAAACGTAACCCCGAAGAAGGTGTAATTTATATGAACGACTATTTTAATACGATAGAAGGCAAATTAGAGTAGAGGGTCATGAGTGAGTG